TTTGGCAAAGTAGTTCAAGACTAACCCAGATGCTAAAGCTTCTTGAAATTTTGTCCCTTCACTGAACTGCATTGTCTCTGTGCCATCCAGCATCATCTGCAATCTGGCACTCTATAAAACATCTCTCCCCTATCATTTTTTGCCCTCAAAAGTACTTTCTGTGCTCTACATTTCCCATTTTCTTAAAACTATGTCATTTCTCCTCCAGATCTCTATGGAAAGGGCTAAGCACAGCAGAGCTGATTGAGAAGATACTGAGGTTAATCACAGAATAAGAACATAATCCAAGTGGGAAAGGACCTCAGGAGGTCCCCAGTCCAAGCTCATGCTCAAATCAGGGTCAGGTCTGAGGTCAGACCAGGTTGCTCATGGGTTTATCTAGTTGTTTCTTGAAAACCTCCAAGAACAGAGGCTGTACAACCTCTCTGGGCAACCTGCTCCACTGCCTGGCTGTTGTCATGATGAAAAAGACTTTCCCGATATCCAGTCTGAATCTCTCTTGTCTCTCATCCTCCCACCATGCACTGCTGTGAAGAGCCTGGCTCTTCATGTTGATAACCTCCCTGTAGGTGCTGGGGGGCTGCTGCCAGGCCCCCATGAGGCTGTCTTTTCCCCAGGCTGAACCAGCCCCTGTTTCTCAGCCTCTCCAGCCGAGGTGCTCCAGCTCCTGATCATCTTCAGAGCCCTCCCCTCAACTGAAGACGATTAAGCTGACTTCAGATATAGAGCCAGAAGAGGTTCACCAGTACAGCCCTGCAATCAGATGAACCAGTCCTGCGAAGAATGAGTGCAGTACAGTGCCAGGCCCTTGGGACTCAAGCAAGGATCTCTCACAGTGTTGCACCTTCTGTACATATGATACGTCAAGTATATATATATGTATATGACAAGTCAGCTCTAGAATAACTTCACGACATGAATATACTAAACGGTATATGTGAAATATTATCCTAATGAAATCACTCAACTACCACAGAACCACATCTTTCTTTAAAATGGTCTTACAATCTTTTATACAGTCACTCTTAGTCAGACATGATGAACGCCCTTTTTCACATCCATTCTTGAATCTAAGATATCTTGCTAATAGTAACAGCGGTGTATATGAGCAAAGACATTTTTCATTGAATCCTTGAAGCAAGAGATATCAAAATACAAGGTCTGTATCTCGTTGACCATCAATACGCATTTTGAAAAGAAAAATTAATAGAAATATGTTTTTTATAATGTGAATTCTCTCACTCCAGTTCCACCAGTACCTTACAATGTGCTTATCGGCACACATTATATCTCAGGCTGGGAATTATAAAAAAGGCAAGGGGGAAAGCATTGACTAGGTGTGGAAAGAACCAAATTCAATAACCATGTCAACAGATATTTAAGCAAAGGAGGGGTATGAATCACCAAGTCCAACGTTAAAAATGTAGCCTACATTAAAGTCAATGGCAAAATCCCTCAGAATTTCAAGATGCAAGATCTACAAGTGAGGATTCATATACAGATTTGAACCCACTCTCAAAGTGGGGACGTGCCTGGAGAAGGACTGCTCCAAACCAATATGCTAGACACAGAGGCCAACCGTGATACTGAGCTGAAATCTGCCAGCATGCTCTCACTCAATAAGTGTATGTCACTGCACTCACAACTTTACTTGGCAGCACAAGTCTGACCTCTGTCAAGATGCTCAAGTGTGATGTCCAATTCAATTACTAAAAGATACATTAAAATCTGGCTTATATGGTTAAGAAGTAACGGTCACCCATTTTTATTTTGGGATCAGTCTCTCCCCAGTCTCTTTAAGGAGAGACATTTTTAGTCTATTCAGTTTCAACATTCACATTAATATCTTTATTAAGCAACCTTGAGCCAGAAACTGAGAGCTCAGTAAAGTTGTTCTCTACCAAATATAATATATTCAAATATAATCACACTGAAAAAAAAAGTTGTTACTATTTTAAATAGTCGTTGAGAAACAGTTTATCTACCAGAGGTCTTCTCCACATACTCTTCCCTGTACTCTTCAGATATATCATTGACCAGGACAATTCCAGGGTACTTCCATTACCTACCATCAACAGTGACCAAACTCACTTATGCACTTTAATTTTGGGACAGAGTAATGCAGTGTCTTTCCAGTAATATCAGTAGGTCCGTTCTGCTCACACTGAATGAGTGTCCGTCATCCTTCCCTCCCCTGTCTCTCTCGTCCTTATCCTCCCATGCCAGGAAAGGAAGGAATTCTCCTTTTCCTGCTCAAATATCCAATAATTATTTCAGCCATCTGCTTCGATACAAGAAACTCTTCATAGAAGCCCATCTAAATGGCAAACCGTTAGAGATTAAGATGATTTATTTTAGTTTAGCGCAGTGTCACTGGTTTAATAAAACAAAAAATAACTAAGGATTTGGGAAGTACTATGGCTTACCCATGTAAAAACTCACTCTCTTGCCAATACATTCTATCGCTGCTGACAGACATTAGAACATTCCTTTCATCTCCTTCCTCTTCTTGCAGTTTAACCTATCCCCTTAAGGAGTATTTGCTTTCTTTAAGATAGATTATACATTGTATGCAACATGAAAACCTTACACACTTTCTCTACCATCTGCAAGACTTTTCTGCCCACTTCTTTAGAAAGAATTAAATCAAAACCCTTATTAGTCTTTTCATTTTGGATAAATAAAACAGGATTACTCTTCTGTTAGAAACTAAAACAAAAGGATTACTATTTCCAGATATGTGCTTCTAAATTAGAGAAGCATTTTTGAATACAATCAACCAAACATCCAAGCCTAGTGGGACCAAATGTGGAATGCAAACTGTGATAAAGAGCAAATATGAAGCATACACATACACGCACACAAAACACCCCCTCTATTCATGCAGAAAACATGATCTAATATGGGATTGATTTCTTTCAAATAATTCTTTCTGCATCCCAGTGTGATTCCAGGATGTGCAAATTAAGATAAATTTTATGGGTCAAATTCTTCTTACCACTACATGTGCTCAAGTCAACTGAAATTGATGACAACTGGATGCTGTGTCAGAGGATGGAATTTGGCACAGAAAATCACAATGTAAGGAGAAGATGTTATAAAAATAAAAATGACATGGTGCTTTGAATGAGGGAGGAAACAATTCTCAATGTGGCCTGGGAGAGAGAAAAGCACAGAGAAGCAGAAAAAGTTGACCCAATAGCTAGTAGATTATCAGATAAGGCTCAGTTGTCAAAACAGAGCCAGCTGCAAGGATCTGAATGAGAATTTTCATAATGGCTCTAGAGGAACCTAACCCCATTCCATAACTAACTGTAATGGAAGTAAAGCTACACCAGCTCCAAGTCCTGATCCACTTAGAGCTTAAAGGGGAGAGACTAGTTTATTACTTCTGTATTCTTTGGAAATCCAAAATAGCTATTTAAGACTTCATCATTGCAGGGCTTCATGTCTCATCTCATTAAACAAAATAGTGTGATGAAACCTTCAGTACGAACTTCCCCCATCTTTCTTCTTTTTTTTGCTTTTTACAACAGAAATGTCCCTAAAAGAAGCCTGTGTAACTTGCAAAATAGACCTAAATCAAAAACAGATTCACATAGTCGTGTAGATGATTTAGCAGTAATATTTCTAGCAGTGGGAGTTTGCAAATATTATCAAATCCATGTTCATGTTTTATGACAACTGACCGATGAAAACCAGAAGCTATTCTGACACACATTTTAACCCATTTTTCTGCTACTGGAATGAATATGAGCACAAATGTCTTCCTGGTTAAACTTTTGTTCATTTGAGTGAAATGTGAAGATGTGTCATGTCCTCAGCTGAGTTCCAGAACTACTCAGGATGTCATGTAGCATTTAATTTCAAGCTCCATTTAGAAAAAAGAATTAAACATCTAACCTGGAACAGCTATCCTCCCAGCTGTTGGATGATTCATTTCCATCACAAGTCCATTGTGCAGCACCTAGAAAAAAAAACCCAAAACACGTACGTAATAAAAAATATAATCAGTTCCTAAACTCAAGAGGAAAAGAGAGATAAATATTATCACGTTCTTTCACAGAAAATCTGAAAATACAGAGAGCTACAATTCAAGTAATTTGTTTAATTTGTAAAACGAAACCCCTGATGTTTGACACTACTCTCCATTTTATGCATCTAAATAAATGCTTCAGCAAGACTTTACAAGTCTAACATATCTTTAAGCTCTTATATCCAACATCAAACATAAGAAACTGAGCTGTAAGCATGTCATGCTTTCAACCACCAACAGACAACTAGTACCAACTTGGAATGAGAATTAAAACCTTCACCCACTTTCACTTTCAATCTGCAATATGTATTGAAGGCCTATACACAAATTATGCTCTAGTGTGTTTTTTCAATGCTACTCAGTTGCTTTTGAGCTCGTGATGGATCACACTATGAAATGCTGTCTTAGTAGTTCTTAAAAACATCCGGGAAAGATGCCACAATTTTGATGTTATTTCTGTTCTTTCAAGTGGGTATGCCATGCTTTAGCTCTGTGTATATCTGTATGGGATGATTATTCATCACAATTTCCAGTTCCTTGTTATTAACCTCAACCAGAAAACAATGTATGATACCAAAATTCTCAAGTAACAGAGAAAAAGAAATTCGTAATAGCAAACTCACTCCTATTGTTAATAGAATTCTGCATCCAAAGCCAATGAGTAATCTTTATCATTTCCTTACCTATTATTCTGCCTTCCTTCTACACTGTTATCCTAATCACATAACCAGAATTCTTAAAAATTTATTTTGTTATTGAAGTATCCTCTACAAATAAAAAGTCTCCCATTAACCAATTATTTTCATATCCAATATAACCATAAATCTGAAATAGAGTGCCTTGCCAAATATATCAGCTATAGAAATGAAAGATGGGCAAAGACTGTTAAGTGATCATGTAATACATCTACCTATTCACCTTACACTGTGAACAACACTAGCAACCTTTACTATTAATGACAGGTGTTGGTCTAATTATTCTTGAAAATTTCCAGTTAAGAAGATGACAATTTTCTTATGTAGTCTGCACCATATTCTCTATTTTTATTGTTCGAAATTTTTCTCCTAATACATAATCTAATGTTGCTTTGTATGAAACCTCTTTATTCTTGTCTTTTCCCCAACTGGACATAGAAAACCAATCACTAGCATCTTTATAACATACTTTTACATACTGGAAGATTGTAATCACATCCTCCCTCAGTCTGCTCTTTTCTAGACTAAACAAAACTAATTCCTTTAGCCATTCTTTCCAGGTCAAATTTTGTGAACCTTTTATCTGTGTAGAATAGCATGCTTAAGAAATTCCCATTCCTGAACAGGTGGTGTCAAAAGGTCAGGTCAGCTTTCTCTTAGTTTGTGGGGTGAGCCTATTTAGCTGACATTTAGAAATCTAGATATTTCCGATAATAGATGCTGGTGGAAGAATGTCTGTTCACTGGTCTAATTGTTTGGCGCTGTACCAAATCATTAGTTCTATTTCTCTTTTGGAAGGTTAACGCCAGTTTTGGTAGACATTCAAGTGAGAAATTCCAAATTTTTTTCCAAATGACAGAATTGGAAAACATAATTGCTTGTTTTAACTCATAGTTAGAATCTTTCCAGTTATGCCCTTAATCAAACAGTATTGAAAGATTGGCCTCCTTTCTCCATAACTTACTTACATAGGCTTTCTTTATGCATTTAACCAACTATTTGTGACCTAAATGCAAGAAAACACGCTTATTTCAACTTGAAATCAACAGCACACTCAGGTACATAAGCACTTCTTAGATGGCAAATTAAAGGCTGTACCTAAAAGTGGCACCATTTGGTTAAAGAAAAACACATAGATTCTCTAGCAGCTACTCAGGGCTCCACAAAATTCATGCCTTCCTGTGTTCTGGGTCTCTCAATTCTTATTCTGATAAGGCAGACATATTACTTTTAAAAGATTTCCTTTTGTTAGACTCAAATTCCATCTCTCTTTTCCTTACAGAATGAACTAAAAAACCTGCAGTATCTTTGAGGATCACCAGTCTAACTTCTATTCCCTTTTAAAAGAATTGCTTAAGATGCAGTCAAGCTTCCTTCCCATTTTCATGATAAGTAGGGTGCTGATTTTCCCTCTCAGATACATTATTTTCTCAAAAACGCTGCAATTGTCATTACTCTTATTACTCTTATTTTCTACAGTTATTAAGCCTATATTGGTATACTCGGTTCCGTCTTTTTTTTTTGAAGAAAACAACCCCCAAGCAATGAATCTGGCCAAAGACTGGGTTTTTTTTCCCACATCAGGAATGCTGTTTAAAAGAACTTTGTAATTTCCTGTTTCATGTGTTCCACTATTAGGATTTCCGAAAAGAAATTGAAAAAACAACTTCACTGACTCCTCTTCACATGCGTTCTAAAAACTATGAAGGAAACATAAGATTACTGCATCCTAACCTTTGGGAGAATGTAATGTTCACATCTATTATCATCAAAGACAAGGAAAGTCTGAGGAAAAAGAGACAACTTGAAGGCCTTCTCCTCCATAGTCTTGTACCGCTCAAATGGTCATGATTCTTCTGATGTGGTAGCGTCCTCTATCCCCTTTGTATTCACCTTAGCTCAGCATAAGGAACCGATGAATCAAGAGGATCATGTAAAATGTGAAGGCCATCAGTAGATCCATTTTTTATTTTTTTTTTTTCCATATGGCTTACTTTCCAGGCTAGAAATACTCTATTACTATATTATCTGTCACCATTTGAGATTTTGTGAATCAAATTAATGTTTGGGTGGCATTTTACACTGATTATAATGAGATCATCGCAAGGGAATCAGAAGCAGAGTCTTCTGTCTTTCAGTAATAACCTTTTCGTGCCATTTCATTTTATTCCAAATACAGTCATCTTGTAGATTAAAGAAGGAACCTCTCTTGTCTGTCTACTGGTTAATGAAAAGAAAACTTGATGTCACCATTTTGTAATCTTATCTCAACAACAGTACTAGCAATGTGCTGCTGTTATTTGTGACGTGTTCATGTAGGATTTTTTTTTTCTGTTCATACATTTTTATGTCTTTCCTCCTGACACTTAGAACTGTAAAGGAAAAGTCTCTCCTATTTGCAAGAAAGAAAAAATTACACAACATGAAACAGTAAAAAAATCTCTACATTCTACTGAAGTCAGTAGAAGATAGAGTTGCTCTGATTCGTGCCGCCTGTTACAATGATTCCTGCATCAACTTTTGCTACATAATCTTTTTTAAAAAAATTGTGTTTTCTTGCAGAGTGAATTTGAAAAACTATATAGATTGTATATATACAATGCAGAATATATGTAGTTCTCTATCATTAGTTGCTACAATTCTACTCTGGGATTATTTATTGTATATGCAGACAGTATCAGATTTGCCCATGTTACAAAAAGAAAATATTGCTTGGTGATGCATAAAAACCACAGAAGTCACTGTATTTTAAATTTATTTAGCCAGCTTAGGTTATTACATGACAATTCAAACTACAGCAAATAGAACAATTCATATGATTATGTCTTCTAACCTCAGAGAATAAAAGAATTTAATTAAAAAATTACTTCAATATTATTTTCCCAATACTATATGCAAGAAAGTCCACATAGAATCTTTTAAGCAAAGATCTTAACGTTTTACTTGTGTAATGCAAACCAAGGGTAATTTAGTATATTTCATCATATATATTTCTCAGTTGTTTCATCATTTCCTCTTAGCTTGTCATGAGAAAAACTATGGAGGATACTTACAGCAGCTGTTATGAAGCTCACAGTAATTCAGATATAATAACTTCAATGATTAATTTTGCTCTTTTCCCTAACGTTGTTAATAACTGCAAGTTAAAAAGTGGTTAATTTTTTTATAACAGGCAGAGTTAAAATCCCTTAGCCATCTGCTTTCACAAGGAGGATCAAATATTAACTCTAGTTATTTCTTGTATTCTCACCTTGTTCAAAACAATTATTCAACCAACACTACTTTTCTGCATTAATATTTATATTACCACCGGGCATGTTCAGTTCAAGACTGTAATTTTTCTTTCAGTATTTGAGTCTCTTTTGAGTCTCACTTAAAAGCTAAGTGACATATAAGGAAGAAAATGAGAATAAAATGAACTTCAAAAGAAATACAATTATGATATAAAAATACAATATGGCTGCAGAAACAATTTTAAATTTCATCTTCATGTAAAAGACTTGCAAGGCTGAAAATCTAGATTCAAATAGGGACTTTATCTTTGACCACATGAGACTTAAGACTCATTCTTTACAAGATCATATGGTACATAGTGTGGTGCAAGACACTTTTTCAACTTTCACAGATCCTTCAAGGAAAAAGATGAAACTCTCATTTTTCTATGACTGTACTGTTCCTTAAGGTAGTAAGACGTACAGACTATTAACGTGTATGGTGGCTTTCTTTGGGACTTACGTGTGAGTACCTATTTATCTATCTAAAAAACAGCTAGGAAAACTATCACCATGCAGGATACGGCTTCAGGATGATGTAAAGAAATCTGTTTTTTCTTGGACACTCCACAACTTGTAAGAATATCTGATACTTGATGATGGGTCCCTTAATTGATAAATACAATAACAATACATATACAAAAGGGTTCTTTTGATAAAAAGATTATGTAGCGAAGTAACAAAAGTTGTGAAACAGAAATTAATCATTTATATTATTATTAACAAGTATTAATCTTCCTTGCATCCCTCAAAAATGAATGGCTGTCTTACATGCTAAGGAAGTAAAATACTTTATTGTATTATTGATGCAGCAGCACAAATGGCAGGTAGGAGGATCAGAAACCTTGTTTCTGCCTTTTTTCACGTGGATAATGGGGTGTTTGGCCACCTAGTAAACATTTGGCAAATTTTGCAGTTATCATAAGGTTCATTTCATATCATGTTAGTTCATTTCAACTGTAAT